ATGCTGAGCGAATCACGAAATCGCAAACTTTGAGCTCGATTTTCTCCAAAATTCTCCGCAAAAATACTTTCAAAATTGTTTTCGGATCTAATGAGCACATTTCGAAACGTCTGAGACAGCAGAAATAATGAACAAAAGTTAATTTTATTGAAAAATCGAGTGTTTTTCATCCATATGAAAAAAATGAATTTTCGAGCATTTTTTTAGATTTTCCAAGTCGTATTTTTGCGGAGAATTTTGGAGAAAATCGAGCTCAAAGTTTGCGATTTCGTGATTCGCTCAGCATCTTCCAGCGCCTACAAATCAAAACCGGTTACAGGCTTGCTTCTTATGTCATTAAAACTGCATAAACGAAACTGAATTTCGACTGGCAATAAGTTTATGTTCCATGGTTAGCTGACTGTTTGATAAGCTATTTAAAAGAATGGTGGTTTTCCGTTGATTCTGCAAGGTTTTTCCGATCGTGCTTATATGACTGGTTTTAGAGTTGGAATCAGAAAAATTACTTCTTTTATGTACAATGTTTAGAGCTCTATTTCTTTCTTACTTTTTTATTTTGGTAACATACCATGGTACATAAAAGAAGATCAGGCGTATGAATGACTTTTAACAGAAAAAATAAACATGTAATTCAAGGTTTCTGCCTATCATGACCAACAACTAAAAATAGCAAAAATTAGCTCTATGAAACGATCAAATCAGACTTTTTTCAAAACAATTGTTTCGGACAAACGCACCAATCTTATGGAGGATGTTTTGAGAATTAGGCTACGCCATACCCGTAGAACATGACTTGTAGAGGAAACAAATATGGATTCATGCACAACTTGACGAGCAAACCTACCATAATCAAAATTTGGCGGCTCGAGGTCGGCGTAAACTCTGCATAAGCTGCGTGAATGTACACGATTTTCAGCATAATTGAAGTCTTTGTTTAAATCTCAAATTTAAAATCGCCGTTTAGGTTATCTATTTGGATAATCGTCAGTTTTTGAGTGGACACAAGAGAGGCTAACTTTTAGAGACACTAATGGATCGAAACACGTTTCTCCAGACCTTCAACCGGACATGTGTGACTTTACGTGAAAGGTGCTGATTGCAAATATTATACTCATTTGGGCCCACGGGAGGCTTCTGAAAAGTCTAGGTTCTCTGGAGAAGACCTAAACGGTGTTTTGAAGTAGTGTTGAACACATTGAACTGTGTATGCTTCTGAGTTTTTATGTTTACTCGACCCGATTTTAATTGAGTTACGGATTACTTAACTGAACGCCGATATTTCTGAGTTGTAGTAAGAATTTTTCCATCCGTTTGCATTGTATACACTTTCAAGCTTGCCGGAAAACTTTTCACTTGTTTGTGTTCACCTACGTGAAACACAGGGTAGACACTTACACTATGCATCGGAGTTCATTTGCCGCAAAGAAATATCTACTTCGCTGCTAGAGGATGAAGCGTAAAAGTCCTAAACTTTCATGAATACAAGATGACAAACAGCAAGGAGAATACGGTGTTTTGCTGACAATTTCCTGAATGGTATTTTATCTCCCACACAGTTCGTATCCGATCATACCTTCTCATACGATATCTCATCTTTAGAAACTTGTTACCCTAGGATAGTTCTCTTTCACAACAGCTTTTTAGACAACATTTCACCAGTTTGTGTTTGCATAAAAGAACCGCGGACCTTCATATATCAGCTCAACCCTTCAATCTTCTCAATACTTTTAATTCTTTCACTCCCTCAAACTTGATATACGAATTCTATCAACTTTTTAATGCTGTCAATTACTAATCGTAAATTAGATACCCCTGGGCGTACGATGAGACTTTCGAGCGAAGTAGAAGTCTCCGTGACGTCATGTGAGGCTCTTCGCTGTACTAAATGGTACTAGTTTGAGATAAAAAGTTCTGAATTTCAAAATTGGTTTTACTATGCCTACACTTGAAATATATCAAACTTTATCCAGCTTTTTGATCATTGGTACTCGTATATAATATTGGGTTATAAATAAAAAGAATGTACAAAAACTAAATTAACCACATGCAGAATTGATTACTGACAAGTTTTGAGATACCTAAATATTTCTTCTCTCAAATTTAGGTTGATCGCTATTGGTTATCAAACGGTCGTTCCATTATTTTACTTGCTGATGGCTATCCCGTTAATCTTGGTTAGTGTATCTTTGAATTCCAGCAGTGTGAATCAAAAAAAGCATTCAAACGAAAAAAATTTTTTATTTAGCTTGTGCGCACGGTAATCCAAGTTTTGTTATGAGCAATTCGTTTACAAACCAAGTATTTGCACAGATTGAACTATATACAAAACGAAGACAATATCCAGTAGGGATACACCGGCTATCGAAAAAGGTGAGTGGATTCAGTGTTGAGATCTACTTTTGCTAGAGACTTAGTGGAATCACTTGCTTAGTGCCTAGACCGATAAATTTTACTTGACAATAGACTCAGACTGCAGTTTTATCTATAACGTTATTATTTTTATTTTTTAGTTGGATGAAGAAGTGGCTTTGGCGCATTTAGACTATATGGGTGTTAAATTAACGAGAATGACAGCTGAGCAATCAGCGTATTTAGATGTAAACCAAAATGGACCGTTCAAACCAGAACATTACCGTTACTGACTTTCGTAAAAAGAAACGAAAAATAGTCACGAAAATATACTTTGTTTTCATTTGCAATACTTCTTGTTAGCGTGTGATGCAATATGTACATAGGCAATAATACAAATATAAGGGGCACAACAAACGTTATTTCGTAAAGATGCTCTTGAATTTACTATCTGTAATCGAATTCAGCATGGTGCTTAATCCCCTCTCTCTCCTACTCAAGAAAAAAGCTGCACGTTTGTGTCAAATGCATAATCGTTAAGCACTGAATACATGTGCTCACGGTAAGCAAATCTTGGAGCTATTCAGCGTCAAAGACCCTTTCCTTTTTGGATTATGTTTAAGCTAATATGTTCTTCGTAGCAGTATTGTACTCATTATTCTGTCATTTGTTTAAAACTACTTTTCTTAATTTTTTGAAATATCTCATTCTTTTCCCAGAGATGAAAAACACGAAAGATTGAATCAACATCATTCGATTTTTCGTTCGGAACGTATTAAACATTGTGTAATACTAGTGATAATAACGAAAATTATTAACTAACAAGAAAAAAGCGAACAACAGTTTTAAAATCTGCTGATGACTTCGTCAGTTGATTTTGTTCTCAGTTCTTTAATATATTTCAACCATATTTGAAATAGATGGGATATCATCAGTACAACAAGTGTTAATATGATAACCCAAGCCTATTAAGCACTGAACCGCGAAGTTTTTCAGAAAATTATGCAATGTGCGGGACCAGCAATCAGACTTTTTAACAATAAAGCCTAAGAAGAGTTTGATACTGAATGGGAAAAAAAACGAAAAAACCTTCTCCGCTCATCTCTGTTGGCCATTTTGGTTTGAGCAAAAGCAGTGTACCCTCATACGCCTGTCTCTGAAAAAGGTTAAGGATTGGAAGAGTGTAATATGACAAGAGAAATCAACCTTCTTATCGACAATATACCTATTTGCGAGAGAGCACATATACGTTGAATCATCGTAAGATAAAGCTTTTTTGTAAACATTTAACACTTTAGTACAATATTCAACAGCATGGCAACGATATATTCTATTAACAACATATTTTCTATCATATTTCAAGAGGCAATGATTACAAAAAGGTTATTAAGATAGAGAATTAGATAAGCAAAACAATAACGAAGAAATCAACAACAGATTAAAGTGGCTAAGATGCACATAGTTCATACTTCAAGCCGAATTTATTTTTGCCTTTTCACACAGCATTCGATAGAGAATTTGACGCTGATTACGAATATAACCGCCCCAAATTTTTGAAAAAATGGTAACGAATATCTTATATATCATTCGTTTGTGATGTTGGTTACTTTTATGTACAAAACATAAATAAATTATATGAATATTAAATATATTATTAATCATAAGTGAATCCAATGTAAAACTTAATAATTCATTATTAAATTGACATACATCACGATAATAACATCGAG